ATTATAAAACTGACAGAATTTGAAAGCTGAGACTTTATTTTATATTAAAAGTACCAAAAGCACAAAGCTTACTGTTATAATTGGGTGGCTGGCGCACTAATAGCCTAAATAATGAATGCATTCGAAGATGTGAAATATTATATATATTATATTATAGCTTTAAAGTGTCAGTAACTTTTAACAGTCCTCCACTGCGTGCATATATTTTGATACTGTGATATACACAATATAGAAAAATCTCTAGACCTATTGATTTTATATCGTCGCCATGTCATACTGCCCAGCCCTAGCTGACAACTAGAACAAATAAAACAAAAGAGCACCCACATCATATATCTTACCTGTTCTTGTTGTGGGTTTTTGTAAGGCCTAAAACAATGTATTTTCTTTTCTACTCACAGGTTCTTGCTTGTGCAGTTGAAGGATTTTTGTGGAGAATTTCTCAAGAGGAAGCTCAGCCTGGGCAACTGTGTGGCCGTCCATAGCCTTGCACACATGTACACTTTGGATCAACTGGCCTTACGTGCTGCTGACATGATTCGTCGCAACTTCCACAAAGTCATCCAGGATGAGGAATTTTACACGCTTCCATTCCACCTGGTCAGAGACTGGCTGTCAGACGCAGAGATTACAGTTGACTCTGAAGAGGTTTTGTTTGATGCAGTGGTCAAATGGGTTCAAAAGAGCTCAGAAGAACGGGTAAAGTATTTTGAGGAGCTTTTTCGTCTTCTCAGGCTGCCACAGATAAAGCCAACGTATCTTACAAGAGTTGTGAAAAATGAGCCTTTGGTCGCGCAGAATGCAGCCTGCCTACAGCTTGTGTCAGAGGCTGTGGAGGGTCATGCGATCCGCTTTGAGAACCTCAAATCAGCAGATACAGAGTTCTGGGCTTCATACATGGCCACATTCCAACCAAGATTTGGCCAGAACATGGATGTCATCATGGTGGTCGGCGGAGTCTCTGAAGGAGGTGACTACCTGAGTGAGTGCGTAGGGTACTTTGTATATGAAGACCGTTGGGTCAATTTGCCACACATCCATAACCATCTGGATGGTCACGCTATTGCGGCCACTGATACCCATGTATACGTGGCTGGGTCCATGGAGCCAGGATTTGCCAAGACTGTGGAGCGCTACAATCCAAATCGGAACACCTGGGAACAAGTGAGTAACCTCACAACACGCAAGCATTCCTTTGGCCTCACCTGCATCAAAAACATTCTGTATAGTATTGGCGGTCATGGCAACTTCAGCCCTGGCTTTAAGGATGTGAGTGTCTATGAACCTGACCAAGACAAGTGGCACAACCTAGAATCTGCTCCTAAGATTTTGAGAGACGTCAAGGCCATTAGTGTCGAAGATCGATACGTTTATGTCACTGCGCGAACGCCCATAGATACTGACAGCGATGATGGGTTGAAGACGGTGACTACTCGCTACGACACTGACAGTCGCCAGTGGCAAGAAGTCGATTCCTTACCGCTTATCGACAACTACTGCTTGTTCCAAATGGCTGTAGCATCGACTAACTTCTACCACACGGCTTCTTGCTGTCCCAAAAGCTACACCAACGTACGTGACGATGTAGCTCGTCAGAAGATCAGCGCAAGGATATCTGATGATATTCTTGAGAGCCTTCCCCCAGAGGTTACTAGTATTGAGGGTGCTGCTATCTGCTATCTTGATGATGATGTGTTTGTGATTGGTGGCTGGAAGAACAGTGACGATGTGGATAAGCAGTATCGCAAGGAGGCATACCGTTATTGTGCTGAGCGCAAGCGCTGGATGCTTCTGCCGCCCATGCCTCAGCCTCGCTGCCGTGCCACAGCATGTCATGTTCGCATTCCCTACCGCTTTCTATATGGCTGTCAGCGTTACCCAATGCCACAGAATTTGGCACGCCAGAGGGACCGTATGCAGCAAATGCAACAGTTACATCGTCGCACGTTAACTCTACGCAGGCAGTTACAATCTCAGATTGAATGCTAAGAGCTCTTGTTGCGCAGTAGAAAAACTGCTGCAAAAATCATGATAATTTAGTGTCTTCAGCATTCCCATGATCCCATTCTTATTAAAATGTGTATTATTTGTTTACTTGTGACATTTCATCACTGAGACAGTGAATGAAATGGCTGAAGCTAGTAAAAGAGTATTTTCAATGTGACTTTGTATAATGGAATCATATAAATATGTAAAAAAAGATAGATATGTTTGTAAATATCTGTACACATGAAACATTGTTTCATGGCCTTGCATGAATTTGCCTTATTCCTGCAGTCGGCAAGTTGCAGAATGCTGCACATTAATTTATCTAGAGTCATAATGTTCCATGTGGTGATGGTTGCCCTGCTACATTTGTGGGTTTTTAAGGTTTTGTTTTGCAGGGAGTGACATGTGCTCAACCATTTTTCCCAGATGTAATGAATCACCAGTTCAAAAACCATTTTCAAAACTGTTCAAAAACAAACCATTAATAACTACAGAAATAACCACTGCATCTTTATTCCCTTCACTTGTTAATTAGATCCTGGTCTTAATTGAGATGAATTTACTTGTTTGGCACTTGAATGCAATTCTTTCACAATCTTTGTTAATATTTGCAAAAATGCATTCTTCACAACTACAAGCACTTAATTTCAGCATTAGCCCTGGTCTTAATCTTTATTCTTATTGTTTTAATTGATTATATTTGTTCTTTTTCAACTTTAAAGCACAGGGAATAAAGACAGTTATGGCATCAGTTATTGATGCATGAAGGCTGCACCTAATACAACTGGAAAACCATATAGTCAAGGATCCATTACCTCAGTGTCAAGGGCAGGACCTTGTAAACTGTTACTTAAAAATAATTTGTCATTGGTGTTGCAGTCTGTGCCATTTCAAAATCTCTCAACTTTATTTTTTTTCATTCATATATATTTTTAGCCATAGACATCAGTTTGTTTTCTGTTATGCATTGCCTGTCAATAATTGTCAACATTTCCCATCAGTCTGTAGTTGTCCATTCCAATTTTAGTAAGGCACCTACTGATGGTACCCTCAATGCATCCTTGTCTGTTACATATACAACGCTATTTATAATCAATTTTTTTATTATTTGAAATCAGTTTTCATCTTTCATCTACATTCCCTCTTTGTATCTCTTCAAAGACTTTTCCTGTCTTTTACAATATGTGATGTTTGATGTCTTTTATTACAAGAAAACTCCGTGCACTTCACGTGAAAACTTATCAACCAATCATTGGCACCATCTAGACCAGAAAACATTTTGTAATGTTCACCTGAAGAACATTTAGTCCACACCAAAGTCTTAAAGTATGTCATCTTAGCTGAACTAATGTTAAGCTTCGATGTTAAAATCTCTACTAAATGCAAGATTAAAATGGCTTTGACAATGTATCTATAGCTCTCATATTGACTTGCAGAGTTTCATAGTCATTTCATACAGGGAAAATCCCCATGAGACATACAGTGAACATACATTATTAAGCCTTTTTCAAACATTTTCCTGCATATTGGAGACTCTGTAGAATCTTAGATATTGTATTCAATGGGAAATGTAAGTTTTGTGTCTCTCATGTTGAGATGTGGTTTAATAGTGTTTAAGATCTATATCAGTTTATTTCCTTCTTGCACAGAAGAAATGAGTGTGTATGTATGTGTGTGTGTGTGTCGATGGCGAAAGTGTCCGACAATAAGAGTAGCAAGGCTGGGATGTTATCTTGTCCCACTCTCATTGTTTTAAAGTCTTTGAAGGGCGAATATAGTTATTTGCATGTGGTATAAAGTATGCACATGTTGTGGATCTCAGTGATTTGCAATAAATATTTATTAAAAAGCTGATATTGTCCAAGAGTAGTTGTTCTGGCTTAGTTGATTCCCTTCCTGAAGTTCCATAACTTTTATGTTTAATAATGTTTTTGATGCAGTATAACTTTGTATTGCAGTGTTAAATTTAAATAGATTAAGGCATTTTCACATAGACTATGATTATTCCCCAATTGATATGCTTGCCAGCGTGTGCAAATTGACATGACATCTGTTGCTGTGCATGGTTTGATCGTCACTATAGGAAATAATATGGTCAAAATACAATAAAGAAATTATACCACTATGAGCAAACCTTTTGTCATTTTAAGTTAACACAGTTTTGGTGACTGGTGGACACGTATATATGTACATAAAGTCCAATAGAAACCAATGCAAAGATAAGAAGGCAGAAATAGCTTAAATTAAACAGCTTGTCAATCAGCTTGTATGCTAATTTCAAAACATCTACATTCACCCTAAAAATACTTACAGCTGGAAAATCATCTATCACAAAACAGTATTATGAAAGGACGAATGAACAAATCATTCATGAATGAAGATTCAGGACTGACGTTGGCCACCCTTGACTTAATAGTATACTAGTATAATTAGCATATTATAATTATTTCTAAAGCAGGGTTCCTCAAATCCAGTCCTGGAGGGCCGCTGCCCTGCAGAGTTAAGCTCAAACCCTGATCAAACTCACCTACCTTTGATTTTCTAATGATCCTGGAAGACCTTGATTAACTTGTTCAGGTGTGTTTGATCAAGGTTGGAGCTAAACTCTGCAGGGCATTGGCCCTTCGGGACAAGATATTTAGGAACCCTGTTCTAAAGGATCATGTGACACTAAAGATTGGCGGAATGGCTGCTGAAATGTACATATATTACATAATATAGTAATACAGTAATAAATGTAGCATTGGTGAGCATAAGAGACTTCTTTAAAGACAAAGATAAGACATAAAAAGACATCAAAATCTTAAATTTTCCAAACCTAAGAATAATTATACTTAATTATATTGATCAAATTATTAATTACAAGTATGTCAAATATACTTACTTTCTGTATTCTTAGTAAAAGCCAAGTATACTTGAGTATAATTTTGTGTAGTACATAAAAGCTAGACAAAGTATATTCTCTTATTTTAATAGCACACTTGAATACATTTCTTTTTTTTGTAAGGGTTGTCATATTTAATTTCAAAATAAAATGTTTACAAATACTTTTGGAACATTTTATTAGGTGGCACAAACGCATTTTTGAGATGCAACATTTTTAGGAATATAAAAATATGTGACCATCAAATGTACAAACTTTTAATACTGGAAAGCATGTTGGTATGGTTTTCAGCCTCAGGGTTATGAGTCTGTTGCTTTGTTCTAATGCTTTTGTGAATGTCCATGAGAGTTTCACAGTTCTTCATGGCGTGTTTTCTCTGCATCTTCATCCACTTTTAGTTTTAGCTCATCCTGAGTGATCAGACCATCAGTGTTCCTATCCTGGTTCTTGAACATATCTATGATGACACTATCCTGATCCTGAGCTGGTTTAAGACGACCTTTACCTTCTGATACCTGCTGTTTGATGAACTGTGAAAACTGTGGAGACACGAGGTACAGTAGTAAAGTGAGGATTAAAACCAAATCATTGCTTTCTTACCCCAAGTGACTGTGGCACTTACTAAAACAAGTATTCAATTACAAAGACCATGTGCCCTGAATAAAAACAGTGACGAGGTAAATACTTAAGCAATAGTAAAGAAAAAGCTAATATAAAAGCACAAAAAGTCCCACATCTAGCAATGTAACATGACTTACAGTAACTAGTCAAAAGTCAGTGAGTTTAGTATTGTGCTCTTGAGTAAGGCACTTAACCTCAGTCTATTCCATTGTGGTCTCACACAGATTATTGTCATAAAGTCTGGTTCACCTTGCAGCTTATTTTGGCCAAGAACCACCCACTTAGACAGAAAGAGATTATTTGACTGACATGTAAAGTAACCAATCATTGTTCATTCAGTTTTATGTGCCATTTAGGTATAGACCAGGGGTGCCCAAACTCGGCCCTCTGCAGAGTTTAGCTCCAACTTGCCTCAACACACCTGCCTTTAAGTTTCTAGTATGCCTAGTGAGAGCTTGATTATCTGGTTCAGGTGTGTTTAATTGGGGTTGGAGCTAAACTCTCCAGGACCGAGTTTGGACACCCCTGGTACAGACTCGCTAATATATTTGATACTGTATTTCATCTGTAACGGAAAAACAAAATCTTGGAATCGTCTGTATGTGCTCCAAAATAGTTTTACCATAAAACGAGAATTGTGCCTGTACTTGTTTGACATTTTCATTGTGCTTAGTGAATGAATCTCTCAGATATCTTCACAACATAACACATTTCAGGGCCTGATTGCTTGTGATCATCATAATTTTTAAGCAGATCAGGGGTCTGACCACTTCATCAGAAAAGCTTGCTCAAAGGCTGAAAGTATCTAGAGCTAAAAACTGACCTCCTCTAAAGGGACCTGTTGGTCCTGATTAACGTCTAGTGCCTCAAACAGATGACCCGGACTCTCTTCGAGCCAAATGAACAGGTAGCCTTCAGGAACCCCCTTCTGCAGAGAGACCAACTCCAGCTCGAACCGCAGCACTGCACTTCCCGGGACAATGCCAGCTAGGAAAACAAGAGAGCACAGGATGCACATTTATCAGAAATTGAAAAGAATGCATTAACCTTTTATTGCAGTGTTCCTTATTCTGTTGCTGTTTGAAAACTCCCAAAAAATATGACATTTCAGATGCAGGCCATCCAAGATGAAATGGAGTTGCACACACACACACACAGAATAGACTTGAATTTGGCTTGTCCACGTTTAAATGTAGTTTACCCAAAAATAGTACACCCAAAAATATAAATTCGCAGAAAATTTACTCACCCTCAGGCCATATAAGCAGTAGATGAGTTTGTTCATTCATCAGAACAGATTTAGAGAAATTTAGCATTACATCACTTGCTCACCAATGGATCCTCTGCAGTGAATGGGTGCCATCAGAATAATCCACAAGTATTATTACTAGTATTTAAGCCCTGTCTGTTCCTTAGATCTTCGTCTGCTATTGTATTTGGATTTACGTTGCTGAGCTTTTGATATTGTTTGTTTATGGACTTTATGGATATTCTCCTGGATTTATTATTAAAAACTCCTTTTGAACTTTACTCCTTCGTCATGCACTTGATTAGACACGCAGCCAATGCCTAACAGAATAGCAGACCTAGAAAAGTGAAAATATAGTGGCATTCTCTGTTTGTTTTGTTTTATTTATTTTTTTCCTCTCCCGGAATGGACTTGCCAGCCATACAGCTCCTATGCCTGGAGCAGTTGGACCGTTTGCTGGAGGACCATACCAGGTACTTTTTAGATCTGGTGTGCCTTACGTACTACCCCGACCGCTCGCTCTGTGTATTTTATGTCACCAGCTTGAGTGAGTGGTGTAAGGCAGGCACGCCTGCCAGCAAACGTTCCCCGAGAGGATTTCGCCGCTTTTGTGGAGTGGGTGCTGGTGAATTGTGGATCACCGCTCACCATCGACACCTCAGAGGAGGAATTCACCAGCCCCACTTCCAATCCAGAGCCCAACCAGCCTTCACCACACCGCTGCACGGAGCACTCGCCAGAGCCCGCCGCAGAGCCAGAGCTGACAAGAGCGACAGAGCCTAACATCGCCCCAGAACCCGAGCGCGAGAATGCGACTCACCAGGTGTGTGAGCCGGCAACACCCTGTATCGTCGTGGGAGTACTTGTAGAGATCGAGGGAATGGAATGTGACCCCGCCCACACTCCCACTGCTGAGGGTGAGCTGTCGCTGGCCTCTGAAATATTTGACTGTTGAAATGAGGAAGAATACTGGCTTCTCCCTACCGCTGCTCCTGTCCAGCCAGCTGTCAGCGGAGATCAGGACAACTAGATGAGCCCCAGAGACCGATACTCAGTGAGGACCTTGTCTCCTAGACAGCCACCGGGACAAGACCACAGGAACCAGTTTAGTCCTCTGCACAATGTGACATTGCTGCAGCCTGGAATTGAACTGCTGGTTTCGTCTGACCAAATGAGAACTGGCCCCTCAACTGAGCCTGGTTTCTCCCAAGGTTTTTTCTCCATTCTGTCACCGATGGAGTTTTGGTTCCTTGCCTCTGGCTTGCTTAGTTGGGGACACTTAATTTCCAGTGATATTGTCGACTTGATTGCACAGACACTATTTAAACTGAACTGAGCTGGATGATCACTGAATTCAATGATGAATTGCCTTTAACTGAAAATTGAGTGTTTACTATTGTCATTTTGCATTATTGACAATATTTTCCTAATTAATGCTGTACAGTTGCTTTGACACAATCTTTATTGTTAAAAGCGCTATGTAAATAAAGGTGACTTGACTTTCCAGTTTTCCTGTGTTCCCTCGTTTGTTTCTATCGTTTTTTATTTGTTAATTAGTTCCACACACCTGTTCTGTTTCTTCTTAATTGTCCTGTTTTCGTATTTAAGTCCTGTCTGTTCCTTAGTTCTTCATCTGCTATTATATTTGGATTTACGTTGCTGAGCTTTTGATACTGTTTGTTTATGGACTTGTGGATATTCTCCTGGATTTATTATTAAAAACTCCTTTTGAACTTTACTCCTTCATGCGCTTGATTAGACACTTAGCCAATGCCTAACACTATGTGTACTGTGCTAGACCAACTGAGACTTGTCACAGCACTTGTATACTGTTGCTCTCTTGTTGGTCTGATTGCTTCTATTGTTCACCTCATTTGTAAGTCGCTTTGGATAAAAGCGTCTGCTAAATGATTAAATTGTTTGTAAAATATAAATTCATTAAGACATTTTTAATTTTAAACCACTGATTCTGCCTAAAAGAGTCCTTTATCCATAATATTGGTTTCTCCAAGTCGTCTTTTGAATCTGAATCAGGAGAGAAATATGCACAAGAACTGAACTGTTTACAAATGAAAAAATTTCTAAACAAACATGTCAGTGGATTTTGATGTGAGAGGACATGGACTTCCAGGGGATGGACTTCTTCGCTGGAGGAATGTATTGTGGACTGGTATTTTGGACAGAAGTGACCGTTTAAAGTTAAAACACATTAATGATGGATTTGTTTCTTAGCGTAGCTTTTCACTTCACAAGATTGGTAATTGATGGACTGATGTTGTGTAGATTATTATTTTTCACTGCAGAGGATCCATTGCTGAGCAATAGTAATGTAATGCTAAATTTCAGTGTCACTGTATTTGAGCTAATATTACAGTGACATTGTACTTGTCTGCACGGGTAGTTGGTCGGCACTGGTTTACATCCTTTTAGAGTATCACAGACACATGAAATAAGACACACCTCCTTTCTCTCCATGTCCAAGGTGTGGCGGCACTATGACTGTCCGTCTCTCTCCTACACACATATTTCTAAGAGCCTCGTCTAGGCCATCAATTATTTTATCCCCTCCAAGCACCACATCCTGTGGGGTCTCATAGTCCCTCCTACAAAGATCAGAGATCAATAACTGTTATCCATATCACAAAACCATTAGCACATTGTAATAAATATTGAAGCGATTATAAAGAGATTAGATAGATTGGGGAAACTCACGATGTAAAGAGCAGCGTGCCATCCAGCAGTGAGCAGTTGTAGTGGTACTGAATGAAGTCATTCACCTCACTGGTTTCATTACACGCCTCAGGTTTACGTGTGATATCCACCTGCACAGTATCTTTGACACCGTGGAAGTCTATCACATGGATGTCAAAGACCAACACGGCTGAACCTGGAATGTCCTTACCTGGCCAAAACAGAGCTGTACTTACTGGATAGTAACAATTTTAATATGTAAATGGCAGTTAACAGCAGCTATCTATCACTCTGTATCTCTTGCCTTGTCACCCATTGAAGTAAAAAAAGCTTTGTCACTACCCTTTGAAATTTGTGGGTCCTTGTGACCCCAGAATCCTGGCCAACTATGTCAACTGGCCTTTGTCCATCATCATTGCCTATTTAGACTATTTTACACTATTTAGCCTATCCATATAAGTGGCAGCCAATGAGCGTGTGCATTCTCTCCAACCTTTTCCAAGTCATTTCAACATGGCAAATACATTTAGGCAACTGAACTGCCCCATACATAAAACACTTTTTTTTAAAATAGAAAATTAGTATGAGTACTGTTTTCATCTCGTTTGAGTATTCACCAGGGCCAGAAATTAACGGGGGCTTGGGGCAAAAATGCAAAATTCTAATTTAATTTAAGGGGGCAAATAATGCCCCTGTACAATTAAAAGAAATCTATTACAGCTGTCAAGATTAAAGTTAAATACAAAGTGTCAACTGTGGCACTGATCCCATTGCATCAGATTTCTTTTTACACACTGACCAATCTCATATGTTTCTGTTGAGTTTATGAATGCAATGACCAGTCAGACGCATTTAGATTAGTCGGTGTGAAAATGGCGGAGTTTTGTTGAGTGCATACGCTCACTGATTGAATTCTGAATCTGCACTCTCGTGGATTCTCTCATCATAAATATGTTTATTGATATATAATTTATTCCCGGTTTAAATAACCATTATGTTTTTAATGCTACTAATATAACCAATGTGAACATTCAATTTTCTAATGCTAAAAAGCAATAAACTAATTCATAAACCTGGTTTTTCCTGTGTAGCCAGAATATGATGTTCCGTTTTCCAAATGTTTATTATGCATTCTATTAATCAAAACTAATAATCTGTATTACAATATCAAGAACCATATTCAGTGTTTTTTATTTATATACTTTATGTGGGCTAATTACATTTTGCAACTGTTGTGTAAATACATGTATGCCACAGCATTAAACAGCCCTGTGTAAATCAGGGTTGTCAAACTCAAGATTCAAGGTTTAGATTTCAACCCTAATTAAACACACCTGATCCAACTAATCTAAAACTAAACTAAAACTACATGGGATGTGTTGGAGCAGGGTTGGAACAAAACTCAATTGAGTTTGACACCCCTGGTGTAAATAAACATGGCACACTTTTCATTCAACTTTCATTGATGAAGTAGCATTTAAAATGCATTAAGATAATCTAACCTGCTCCCTGCTGGCCATATGCAAGATGAGGTGGCAAGATGATTCTTCTCCTCTCTCCTGTACACACACCCTGCAAGCCTTTATCTATGCCAGCGATCATGTAGCCCATTCCAATGTATGTGTTGTACGTATGGTTGTGCTGATAGCTGTGACATTAGAGGTAATACAATACATTAGAATCTTAGTAACATCTACAGCAATCCAAAACAACAGCAAAACAATAAACAAGCAAAAAAATAAATAAAAATTTTGTAAAACCTGGAGTCAAATGTGATGCCATTGAGGAAGGAAGCATTGTAGTGGTAGCGAATGTAATCGCCTGCAACAGACTTGCGTGTACATGGTTCAGGTGCTTCCATGACCTCCACAATGATGTCATCTTTAGGGTTGTGGAGGTCTTCCAGGAGAAGGTGATACACTAATGATGCATGAGCAGGGATTTCTGTGCCTGAGGAAAAGAGACACACAATAAAGCTGAAATAATGGGAAACAAGGAATTAGAGGAATTAAATATAATTTAAGAGAGTTTATAACTAACTATCATTTTTAAAGTGCTCCAACATTTTGTAGATACCTTTTATATAATGTGCCATTCCTGGGATTTTGGAAATGAGTGAATATACATAAAGTTGGATATATATGGGTGACTTTATCTGCATTGATACAGTATACTCATGTAGGGCGATATATATGCCAAATAGCACATCTCAACTGCTTAATTGCTTGTATTGTTGCAAAACGTAAACTATATTATTACCCAGCTCGAATCTGCTAAATGCGACCTTAAGACAAAGGTATTAAGATATATAAACATTAATATCATGATTTTCTGTAAAGCTGCTTGGAAATAATGTGTATTGTGATAAAGCACTATACAAATAAATTTGACTTGACTAAACCAAAATCGCAACTGTCTGTCAGTGGATGTACTGTATATAAGGAGTGGGGAGACGTTTGTTTTAGGATTTTGCTTTTTATTTTGAGAAAAAAGTTCAACGTCCAACAGTGATACTCCTCTAGATTTGTTAAGGCTGGAATACACTACACAATCTGAACAGATTTTAAAACACAAGGAATCATATACCTGCCGACTTTGTAAAAAAAGGAAAAACTGGGCATCACACACTAAATGATTGAGGATCACCTACTAAGAGACTTTCAAGTCGTTACGAACACAACAAACACCTCTGTTGCAAGGAGATGGATTCAATTTTAAACAATGTGTTCTAAAATCGGCTAAAAATTTAACCTGTTTGATGGCCTGAAGCTAATAA